CAAGCTGGGGGTGCCATCGTCAGTTGGTGATTTGAAAAGAAATGTCAAGGCACGTACTGCGTATATCCACCACTCATCCCAAAACCGATCACAGCTTGGCAGAGAAGTCCCGTTATCTAGGGCCGAATTAGAGTTTTAATACTCGGGGTGGGGACAGGTACGGACCATGGTATACTTGGGACCCAGCAAATCGACAACAAATGCGCCAATAACCGTTCCCGGAATATAGAACAAGCTGGTCGCAAACATGGTCAGGCGTCGGATGGCGCGGGAGTGATAGAGCATACTTGATGACTACGTTCCATCCAAAGATCACGTATAGGCTGTCGGTCGATCCAATAATACTGTCTACGATGGTGGAGGAGTAGATACCGAACTTCAAGCTGCTTCAGTAACTGCAATTGCCGGGGGGTATTGGCGATACTTACAGGGTACCTGCGAATGCTTCGTTATAAAGGTTGAATCACCGAACAGTCAATCATGCATACGTGATAAAATCATAGACAAACCTATATGCCAATAGGTCAGAACAAACCGAGCACAGTGTTATTCGAGACCTACCAAGTTATACTAATAGCAGCCAAGCTCTTCCAGTAACGTTTCAAGATCAACCAGTAAGGCACCTTAGTATTGCGCATAGAGTCACGCTGGTAACGGGTCGGCTCGGTCATGCGGAGACGCCAGATCAAGACAGCTAGAGCAGGAAAGACGCCAAGACCGAGGGAGCCACGCCATACTGCGCGGAGGTGGTTCTCGCCAAAGCTGAAATAATGAGCAAAAATAAGGGGGTTAATAAATAAACTCACATCCAGAGCAAAACAAGCGGGGTGAACGCTGAAATTACGAATCCAGTGTCAATCATTGTGTCTATGCGAGTGGTTAATCATCGAACGCTGGAGAAAGTGCAGGGGATTACTAGTAGCCAGAGCAAACCAACGATGCTGGGCCCCCTTGGAGATTCCTTCCTCTTCAGATTGTTCAGACGCAGCAACCGATCCAGATGGGTACTCTGCGCCGACCTGCAACGGGGATAAGATGCGTTCATGCGATGTAACCCGGGATACATACCCCAATTCCTAGTAAGAAACTACAAAATGTGTCGGTTGAAAAGTTCGGTTGCAGAGAAGCCGGGCTTACCGACAAGCGCTGAGCATGGCGAGCATGCCTCCAATGCTCCCGTGTGCTCCGGATGAGCAGGCAGAGAGAAAAGAAAAAACGGCGACGATGACGGTAGCTGACATCTAAAGCGGGTTTAGGAATAATGAATTTCATGAGAAGTTGACTTACCATTCCGAATTTTCGCCCAACTTTATCGCTTAGGTACCCAAATAATAACTAACAAAGGTTCAAGTGGGGTGTGACGGGCTAGGAAAAACACTAACCATTCCAACGATGGTTCCCGCAAATGCAAGCGAAGAAAGGGTAGTCCCATAATTGTGTTTGGTGAGCTCGGCGGGGTAAAGTCGTCGAAGAACTAGAGCGTATGAGTTGGGTTTGTAGATATACGGTAGGTAGTACGTACTCGTGTTGACTGCACAAACGAGGGCTGTGAGATAAAATCGACGGAAATGAAAGAGTTGCTTACCACTTCCTATAACACCGTTGGCGTATCCTATGGCACACGTCAAGTCTACGCCTCCTAAAATGAAAAATAACGCACCATCTGAGAACAAAGCCGTGCCACACCTGCGAACCTAGTCAGTAGCCTGCACCACAGTAGCCTCGTCATACGACCTACGCAAAGATGAGGGAGACTTGCGAGAGACCAAAAGGTCGAGGTTCAGGATCAGCCATGGTCGATTTGCTTCACGGCGGTGAGCAGAGGCAGAGGGCAAGGGAGCAAGTTGGACAGAACCACCCATAGCCGGTACTTATCGTCTCCGTGAAGCACCGCGTGCAAATGCCAAGGGACGCGATTGGTTCCATTGGTGTGATAGCCGAGTTGAAAATAGCATGCTTCGAACATCGGGTGAGCCACTTCTAGCCACTTAGGCGCCGAGGCTGATGGGATCAACATGCATCCGTAGGCGAGTATCAAAGCTGGTGGGAAATCTTACCCGAGGCCCATGAACAAAGAAGTATGTTTCCTTTGCTGGGGTATCATTCGCCAAGGCTCGCCGATCCAGCCAAAACAATCACGGGCGGGAAAGGGGAGGCGGGACCTGGCGGTCTTCCGAGGCTCATCAACAAGCCGTGTTGGCTCAATGGTAGAGCGTCGCCCTCCTATTGATTATGTAATCGATTTCCGAGGCGAAGGCTGCGGGTTCGAGTCCCGTGCTCGGTAGTGGTTGTCCTCCATTTTTATGCTCAAAAATATAAATTCCAACCCTCACAGGACAAGAGAATGAGAAATATGAGGTTACATGCTATTGTGGTCCATTTGGGGATTTAATACTTGCTTCTACAACTTTCGGCTCCTATAAAATCACTATATAAGTTTCAGTTCATTAATGTGCAACAAAAAAACTAGCCCCAAACTCAACACGTTTTGGCTCTCAGAGAAATGTGGTCACATATCATGAAGATTCTCCCGTATTTCTGCCCCAACACAAGTAGTCCTATCATTTTGCAATAGAAAACATCAATGAATAAAGAGTTTGAAGGCTAATTGATATTATGGTACATCAAAGGGCAAAACAAGGGCCATATATCTAAGTTCAGGCAAGCTCCATCAATAAGTGAACAAATCTTGTATTCAAAAAAGCATCAAACTTAAACTAGCCACATTTCTTGACTCAAATTAGGGCTTTACCAACCCATAGGGATGGTTTGAAGAACATAGACCCCTCTACTGAGCCTAGGTTTGGATATCACGTGATTTTTCAGCAGCTGGAATGGTTTGTCTGAAACGCAGGAAAGCATCTTGCCTCTAAACATATGCATATAGTCAACTGAGTGATTGTGCTTGCCTAAAGCTGTTCACTGAAAATTTTAGCTATGCTTATAGTGTGTGGTGGATTGAATTCCACATTTCTCCCCGTCTAAGCTGTAACTTTCCACATACTTTAGGATTTTGGTGTCAACCAAAGGTATGTACCTTAGCTACATAAAATATGGACTATACACAAGCATACATACACATGGTGAGGCTGAAACTACATGTATGTGAACCTGGGATTAAATCCCTAAACGGAACATGATACGTATCTAATACAGTTGAGAGTTTAAATAGAAGTTCAAAATAAAATAACCGAGCCGCATGGACAACAAGAAAGCAAAAAGTGGAAGCACTTACATTAAAGCCACCTTCCATACTAGCTCCGCCATCTCCTTAACCATCTCCTTCGTGCACTGGTGCCCGACCCCCTGCTGGATCACCAGTCGCTTTGTTCCTGCCGGTCCGACATCAATGCGGTCCAAAAAGGAACGTGTCGCGAGCAGTGGGATCATGCCATCCTGCGCCCCAGCCAGCGCCAGAATATGCTTGTTCATGAATACCCTCTCCTGCAACACATTTCGCTTGCGCGAGACCGGATCGTGTTTGATGATGTGGCCACGAATGCTGGAGGGTATATAAGACGACACGAGCGGGAGAGCACCGGAGTTACTTCGTTGGGTAACAATGTCGAGAAAGTCGGGGGATCCTGCGGCAACAAGGTCAGCAGACGCGAATGACAGATATAGGTGAGCACGAACCTATTATAGGTATACATACGGACAGACGAGGATCTACGCTGCAAGTTGAGCTTACCTTACTGAATAATCAGATGGGTCGGACTTACCTCGGTCTACGGCCAACCACGCCGCATGCGCGCCTAACGATACTCCGGCAACCATCCAGGTATCGCTAACCGCTCAGTTAGCATATCTACTCGGCGTCGAGCGACATCTCACATACACGGTTTCGTCATGGTTAGGGTTCAACACAGAAGGAAGTCTGTCGATGAGGGCCGAGACACCTTCGGCCATGCGTTCTGTCATAGTCCAAGATTAGCGGGCGCAGACAGGCGGAACGTAAACGGGCTTACCCTGTTGTCGGTAGATACGTTCCCTGGTAGGTCCCAAATGCATGTTAGCACTCGTCAAACTCGATAGCGGAGGAATGCTCACGACTCTGGCTCATCGAGCTTAACTTCGTCATCCGCCAGTCCGAGGTCCTACAAGCCAGTCAAACATGAGCGTTCGTGTTATCCAGTTTCAAACAACTTCTCACCAAAGTCACAATGACAAGATTTTGTTTCAAGCCAAGAGCCGTTTTAGACATCGTCGTTGTCAGATCGAATATCCCGTTCACGATAGGCGCCATATGTCGTGAGCTCGACGGGTGGCCATGTAACAGAAATAGCACTGCGGTTTTTGATGAGAAGGAGCGAATAGGATGGGTGTATATATGCGCGGTAACGGCGTCTAGGTCGACGGAATATGGCAAGACAGTCATGTCGTAAACCTTTTGAGAGGTGTAATTCAAATTTTGTGGTCAAGACATAAAACCACATACCATTAGAGCCTACACGGACAAGCCCTAAACACGAAAGGAGTGAGATTCTGCTATCGGTGGACAACCCGCCAGAGATTAAGTATCGCAATCTTGACGTAGAATCTTGACCTTGCGCCCTTCTTCGGGAACATGCCGCCCCACAGATGTAGAGCTACGGAAGCAATTGAATGAGAATTTTTACCCTTGCGGTAGCAGTATGGGGTGCAAACGTACGGAGTGGGCTTATGTATACGATAGGCTCAACCGGCTATATAGCATTTGATTGATGCCATAACATTATTGCTCCCGGATTGCCTTGTTTTGTACCTCGGAGGCAGTAAGACGACAGGTGCGCCAAGGTAAATACCACGTTATTGCAAGACTGGAAGTGGGGTGAGATAGTAAACCCTTAGCATGAGTGCGTGTTATTAGCATTGAGAGGTTGCTCTCAGCTGGGAGGTAACCATTGATCTGTGAAAAGTCAAACATAATTATTAGCGACGGTTGCATGCCAACAAATAAGAAGCCACGGACGTTGTTCGGAGCTGCGTTTACCCACGGATAACGAACGGATATAAAGCTTTTAGGAGGTCGCCTTGAACTTAACTCCAAATGATCCAACATATTGGCCAACGTTCCGGCGTGATAGGAATGTTGTGTTCCTGCGGGAAACTCCGAAAACATTCCGTGAACGAAATCTGTGGATCTTGTCTTTGGTGGGTACCTATACAAGTGGTATTTTGCTTGTGAATATCTAATGTCGTATAAAGAATATACCAGCCGTGAAGCGCTAGAATTTTCTCTAGGATGCTAGAGTACTTCTATAAGAACAACTCGGAATCTTCCAGTCCGTTGGGAGCCCGTTTGCGGCATGATCCCCGAGATCTTATCCCGAAAACGCGCACTGCACTCATGTTAGTTCTCAACTGCAGCCGGGCACTTGGTTTCAAGCACGCGTGGATCCCTGCGCACCCCAAGGGTGGGTATACAGTTGAACCTCTTGAACCGCACCTTCCGTAACCGGCACCATGATTGATAGAGGCTGAATACCTTAGGCTCAAAGAGTGCGGGGGTCATTCAATTTTAGCGCGAAACATTTACCATCATTGTGCGGTTCAAGAGGTTCGACTGTAATCTGAGAAAGTGGGTGTTTCTTCAACCGGAGGGATGTGATTGGTATGGATTGATACAGTAAGTGGTTTTCGTCAGCTGTTGATCCGTGGTGTTTGATGGATAGGGTTACAAATCAAAGTCTAGTACTGCATAGTTCCTGCTACACCTGACCACCGCCGGGCCGCAGTCCGTTTTAGGTAGGCAGCACGAATAGCGCTAGGACTACCTACATGATATGATTTAATTCGTCGAACAGAGCCACTTTGTTGCCTCGCTTGCTTTACCATGTCGGGTGAGTGTTCCCCTTTCCTCGCAATCTTACATGAATATTCATTTTTTGGTGGCTCTCAAAAGGGGATCACTATCATGGCAAACTACCTGACATCGGACATCTCGCGACTTGGAGCGTGTCGAGCTACAAGTACGGCTTCAACGTCGATTGTCTTCGCGATGACGACCCCGAGACGTTTTGGCAGTAAGTCGGGCACAGCTAAACTGAAGAAAAAAGTAAACTAGAAACGATACTACAGGAGCGACGGTCCGCAACCCCACTTTATCACGTTGCAGTTTCACAAAAAAGTCGCTGTGCAAGTGAGTACCACCCCCTTGTGCACATCTAACGGGACACTAATGTTTGTTCGTAAGAAAATCGCCATCCTCCTCAAATTCGACCAAGACGATTCGTATACGCCCATTCGGCTCGCCATTCGCGCGGGTATGAGCCTGAATGACCTACAAGAAGTTAGATATGTCGGGTTCGAGCGGCCCAACGAGTGGCTTGACTTTGATGTGTCCATGGACCCGTCCGACGATGGGATGAGCGCGTATGTTTGCAAATTCTTTCTTATCGTTTTCCGACACGGGTTTGTTGTAGTCGACCGTTGCATTGTTACGCCATTCAAATCGTAATTGCGGCAAATTATATGAACGGGAAGGATACCCACATTCGCGGCCTCAAGGTATTGGGACCGCTCGAGTGCGTTGCCTGGGTTATTTGAGGGCTCATTTTGCTGACTAAATATTGGGATCGACAGACCTCAACCTGGTGCTGAAGACACGATCCCGTATACGTCGCTAGCGTTCCAGATGCACGAATGTATCCGATAGCAGGCAATCGTTGCTTAAATAAACTGATTCCGAATCATGCATGACAGGAACGAGATGCGGTTCTCTTCTCCTGAATGATCGAGATATCCAAGTACGTAAATATATTCAGCCTTTAATTTCAATGTAAGGTGTCTCTATCCCTGTGTTGCCGTATTCATCTACCCAGCCATACCCTCCCTTTACTTCCTCAGGAGCAGCGACCGACCACTCATATCTAAAATCGACGCCCATCAGTGCCCCTTCGTCCCTCAAAGCCCCAATACTCACCTTCAGGCTTGTCCAAGCCCATCAAATCCAAAAGAGTCGGCGCAACATCCGCCAATGCACCCTTACCCTCCTCATCTTCACCACTCTCCTCATCCCCGGCAAGCCCATACTTGGCTGGGTCGCCGGTGATAATGAAAGGCACCGGATTTGTCGTGTGCGCAGTATGCGGGTTGCCCGTCTCGGGGTTGATCATTTGTTCCGCGTTGCCGTGGTCTGCGGTGATGGCGAGGATGTAGCCAGCTTTCTGGCACGCATCGTACACAGTCTGTGAAGATCAAGGTCGTTAGGCTAGGCTGATATCCGAGATGCACGGAATCTCGTACCTTGACGGCCTTGTCGGTCGCGCCAATCGCCTGCACCGCAGCCTCGTACACACCGGT